TAAAGACGTTACGTAAATATCATGAAAAAAATAATTTAATATAATAATCAATACGTGGCATACCCAATGAAGCAATTACTTCAAATGCACGCATTGAATGCGAAACTCAACCGCCTTCTTGTTCGATTAATTAAAACAAAGCGTGGGGATATTATTTCGTGGGGGCAAAAAAATGATAGTTAGCAAAAATGATAGTTAGTCCCAATATGCAATGCTTTTATTTTATTTTTATTTTTTTTTACTATTGCGGAAAAAGAGTTAGTGGACCTAACCTGTAACATTCATGAAAATAAAAGCTTGAGATGACAAGACGCAAACTGATTTACGAAATTAGCCAAAAGAAAATTAAGTATCTTTCATTAGGAACAGGAAACACGAATTTAAACTTAAGATGATAAGAAGCAAATTCATTTACCAAATTTGGCAAAAGAAAATTAAGTATCTTTCATTATAATTAGCAACAGGAAAACGAATTTAAAACAGAGATGATAAGAAGGAAACTCATTTACCAAATTAGCTAAGCATCTTTCATTAAATGCAGCAAACAATAAACACGAATTTAAACAAGGTGACAAAAGTCTTTCAAGATGGTATAAAACGTGATAGTAAGGGGGTTTGGTAAAGAAGGAATTCTGTCTTACCCGAAATCATAATTTTCAGGAATATTACGTGAATGTAAATTTTTCAAAAATATTACAAAAAGTTATTTGATTGACTAAAATATTTATGAAAATGATTGGTCAATTTTCCTGATATTATATTTGGTTGATTGTTTACTGAGAATATGAGTTGATTTTACAAAACTAACCCTTTTTCCCTCTCTCATGTGCATTTAAAATATGGAAAAAAAAGTATCTAATGTTACTTTAGACATCTTTGTCTAATGTTCATCAAAACGACATCGTTTTGGGTTGAAAAATTAAAAAATTAGAATGATAAAGACTATTATAACCCTAAAATAAATTAATATTACAAAAACACCATGATTTTCGTTCCAAAACGACGTCGTTTTGTTGAACATAAGATAAAGTTATTTAAAGTAACTTTAGAAAACACAAACGCTTAAAATATTTGGTCAATTTTCTTGATATTATATTTAGTTGATTGTTTGGAGAATATGAATTGATTTTACAAAACTAACATTTTTTTCTCTTTCTCACACGCATTTAATGTGCATATTCAACATCTATGTCAAAAACACAGCGCACCAGAGAGAATAAACCAACCGCGAGAACAATAAAGGAGGCAAACCTCTTTCCAATTCCATAACAAGTTACTAGTTTTCCAAACCATCCATCAATGTTATCATCTTTTAGATCCCTAGAGCTCAACATCACATCACACTATCTGCCATAGCTATGCACGGTGATGCAAAGAAGATAAGAAGAAATCAGATAGAGAGTGATGCAGTGTAAACCATGTTTCAATCAATAATCTTCTTCCTTTGTAGTCACGACTTTGTTTCTTCGATTCGAAGTTCATGGTGTTGGTGAATGAACTCACCCCAAAGCCCAACGGTGAATGATTCAATCTAAGAAGAAGAAGAATTCAAATTTTTTTTTTTTTATTTTGAATAGAAAAAATCAATTTGGCATAAAGAGAAAGAGGTGTATGTCTCCTCCCAAAAGGGTAAGCGTAAACGTTGGACGAGGAGAGAAAGAACAAGTTCGAAGAGAGTGGGAAAACGAGGATAATCTTGTCTGAAACAATTTACAAAATATTCCCTGCGAATCTGAAAATACCAACCAGGCATTTTCCTTCACAAACAAAAATTATGAGAATGGGAAAATTTTCAAAATCCCTCTACTTAAATAAAATCACCAATTTCAGATTCCTGAAAATTTAAAATAAAATCATGTACCAAACCAACACACGTTTGCTGCAATGGTGGTACACACCGACTTCCTTTCAAAATCTGCCACTTGTATATATTTTTTATTTTTTTATTTTTTTCATCCCACTCTCATCTTTTTTCTCTATTTTCGATTGGTGTTCCTTACTGAATACATGGTTCCACCGTGGTACTTTAAAAATTTCCATACCAAACGCCCCTAAATGCAACAGATTAACATAGGGGTGTTTGGTACAAGAATTTTTTTTTTTGTCGGGGAATTTTTTTTTCAAAGAATATAGTGAGAAATTTTTTTTCTCATAAAAGTAAACAAAAAGTGTTTGATATGTCAAAATTTTAACGGGCAAATGAGATTAATTTTATTGATGGTATGTTTGGTTGATGATAGAATATTGATGAGAATCTCAACAAAAATTACCAAATTACCCGTAATTTTAAAATTTTGTATCTCTGTATGTTCTTTTTGTGCCTTGTCTCCCTATGTCCAGGTTGAAATGGTTGTTTCAGAAAATCATAGAAATCACCCTCTTCCTCCATCCAGTCGAGATGCAAACCCAAACCATAGAGGGAAGATTCCATTAGTCGTTTATTTTTTTTATTCTTGTGTGTGCCGCCGTTAATTCATCGTTTGTTTGGTCTCTTCCAAGTTTTTTTTGGCTCTTGGGATAACTCTATCACCATCACCAAACTCCAGCTACTGGGGTGTTGTTTTTATCACCGGCAAAAATGCTAGGCTGCCTTGTCCCTTCGCCGTCCACACTGTATGGTAGTCCCCTATCTCTACACTTGTCCCTGCATTTCCATACTTAAGATCTTGGTCTGTTAAAGGTTCCATCAATATTCCACAGTCAGTGGTTGTAAATCCGGTAAACATCCATAAACAGAATCGGAGGGCATTATCGTCTGAATTCACTAGAATCACAATTGGAGTACATGGGGGGAAAAATACCATAGACTGATGGGGATTCTTTTTTTCTGGTGCTCAGTGCAAATGTGGATTGACTGGAGGACTTTTTTGCAGGGAATAAATCAAGATACCTCGTACCAAACATGTACAAAAAACATTCCACACCCCACTTCCCCATCATTCTAAACAAAAACTTCATACCAAACACCCCCTACATGTCTAAATTGGAATCCTGAGAAGCACTGCATGGCCAGTAGAGGTGTTCGCGATTTTGATTGGATCAGTTTTGAAAGTAAAATCATTTGATTCAATCCCTTCGGTTTAATCATGTAATCATCCGTTCGGTTTGGATTTTTTTAAATCCAATCCAATTTTTTTTGGTTTGCATTGGATCGGTTTTCGGTTTTTTGAAAATCCTAAAACTTGTTTCATGATTATTGTACAAATAACATCTTTGTATATATTGACTTTGTAATTTTTTTTTTGTGAAATACAAAAACATCAGTAAACAATAACATAGTTTTTTTTGTGGAAAATGAGATATGAAGCTCTACACAGATGGAATTTTGTTGATGAGATGTGACTAGATTTTTTCTTGGATTTAGTTGATGGGTTAATGGATCTTGGATTTAGAAATTTTTGGGCTATGATTGAAGAAAGACCCAAGTAGGTAGAGGGAAATTAATATATTGGATCGATTTTCATCAATCAATCCGAAAATTGATCCAATCCAATTAAAATTTGCGGGGTTTTTTTCGATTTTTGATTTTTTGATTTTCGATTTATTCGATTATTGGTTTTTTCAGTTCGGTCACTGCGGTTTGAATCGATTTGGATTGGTTGATGAACACCCCTAATGGCCAAATGGCAACTAGGGGTGTTCGCGGTCTAGATTGGATCGATTTTGGAAGCAAAAATCATCTAATCCAATCTATTCGGTTTAATCGTATAATCATCCATTCGGTTTGGATTTTTATCAAATTCGATCCGATACAATCCAATTTTATTCGGTTTGGATTAGATCGATTTTTGATTTTTTGAAAAGCCTAAGATTTGAATTATGATTATTATGCAAATAATATATCTTTTGTATGTATCGGTTTTGTAAAGTTTGTATGATGATTATTGTGTAATCTAAAAGCATTGTACAAAAAAAAGTTGATTACTATCTTTTACCTCCAAAAAAAAATTTATAATATGATTGCCTGAGATACGAAGTAACCCAATTTTTATCCCAAAGAGGAGTTGTTGTGCAACAATAACTCATGTAATAAAAATACATTATGTATCTCACCAAAAAAAAGTAACATAGATCAAGCACAACCTACTTTCTTCAACATGATGAGTTAATGGGTTTTTTAAGTAGGTAGATGGTAAGGTTGGAAAATCATTGGATCGGTTTGGATTGGATTGGTTTTCACAACTCATCCAAAAACTGATCCAATCCAATTAAATTTTGCGATTTTTTTTATTTTCGATCTTCGGTTAATTCAATTTTTTGGTTCGGTCACCGCGGTTTAAATCGGTTAATGAACACCCCTTCTGGAAACACCTATTTTGTTGATTTTGCTTCTTTTTTCTGAAACTTGTTGAGTCATGCTAAATGCATATTTAAGGGCACGTTTTTTTTTTAATTTTCAATTAAAAAAAATATTTGATATGATCTGTTTTGTAAAAATAATTTTAAAAATTATAACTGTTTTTAAATTTTTAAAATCAAAATATTTTATATTTTTACTTTTAGCTTTTAAAACAAAAAAAAAATACAAAAAATACCTATTTCATTAACTATTCTACAAAATAGTTTTAAGAATAAAAAAATCAAAACACAATCAAACAAACCCTAAATCTTCGATACTCTTAATTTTCCGTACCTGAGAACAAAATTTCTGTGTTCTAAAAAAGAACAGAGGAAGTTTGAGCAGTAGGATTAGCAATCCAAGCAATTCAGGCAATGAACGTGGTTTATTTCATTTTTATTATTGATTTTGTTGCTAAAGTTTGTGAGAATAAACCATGCTCAGCTCAGGTGTATTTCAAGTGGAAGTCGAACCCCTCTACTGCCAAGAAAAGTAGGCTTATGTACGGGGCACAAGATTTATTTGCATATTGACTAAAGTTGAAAAGTTTCTAAGCATGTTATCCCCTTTCTTTTTCTTTTCTTTCTTTTTCTAAAATGGAGGAATTTAAAAAGATGAAGTATGAGCGAGATTAGAGTTTGATACAACATAAAAGCATGATTATAGCATAACTTGAAGCTCCGAAAAGATAACAAAAGAGTCTTGAAACTACAATATTTTACAAATGCAAAACTTGATGGCAAATATAGAAAACCAAATGCAAATCTTTCCTCTCAAGTGATTTTTTTTTTTTTTTTTTTTCTATTCTCTGATTGTGACCCAAGACTTGGGCAAGAATTTCATCTGTGTACATGTATCAACTAACATATTTACTAAATGAATACAGCGTCCAACACCAACGCACCAACAGCCAAAGACGCTAGAAGTAGAGCTCATATCAATTTAGCATTGGTCTGTTCACGGTTTATGTTGTGCATATATTGATGTACGAACAGCTTGTTGAGGAGTCAGAGCTTTTCCATTTACAAGCACTTGTTCATAGAAATCCAGGCGTATAGATTTGAACTGGTAATGCTATTTTTAAATATACATGAATACAACAAGGTAAACCCTTAATCAGAATGACAATTGACATGTTCGATCACAAAGACCATGGGGAAGTAGCTCACATCATTGCATTAAATCAAGAATATCTTCAATGAAAAGTTTACCTTCTCCTTCCAAGACAAATCAACATCGTGAAAATAAGGGTCAAGCAATGTTAGCTGATCTCCTTCTTTAATCTGGGTGACAAGGGCTCAATTAACTCCACAATAATTCTTCAATTGATGAACCATAACAGTAGGAAAGAGAAAATTAACAAACAAAAATTCAACAAATAATTACTCCCTTAAATGGACAAGAGAGAAAAATAAGTAGGATATGATTTATCTATTATAACTCGATGGGGTGTACATCAGCTAGACCAAACTTTTACTCAGCACTGCCAAAACTGCAAATTTTATTGCTTATGGTCACATTTGGGCATTTCTTTTATCCCTTTTTATGTCATAGTTATAGATCATCACATCACATGATGATTTTTCGGTTACGCCTTAATTGCACGAAAGTCCATAAGCATAGACTACCCACCCTCATCAATTTTTTGTTTAAAGAAGAAATATTAATTAGAGATGAGATTGAAAGAACCATACAACTAGTTTGTCACCGTTGACATTTATCCCAGACAGACAAGTGAATTTTAACTTCTGAAAAAAAATTAAGAGACAAAAGGAGAAGATGACATAAAACTTGAGCAGCAGTTCTTACCACATCATCACGTACACCATAAACAGAGAGAACAAAGCAAGATTGATTTGAATCACAAAGCAAATAGTATCTGCAAAATGACAAGAACAAGATTATCTGCATCGAATTTCGGCAAACGTAGCAACAATTCTTTGGTGAAGTCAAGGAACAGAACTATACAGAGTAGGAAAAAAAGTAATGTAACAGTTAAAAGATTTTTACTTTGTTGCATTAGATGCAACGTGAACTATAAATACATGTTTGTATTTTACTTTATTTTGATTAAAACATGTATCATAATATTTTGTAATTTTATTTGTCATTGTTGCCCCCTCAAACAATATTTCGGGCCTGCCCTGCCATTGCGGAAGTTGAAAAGATCTCTTTCCCAACACCCCTTCACTCCTCCCACCCCAACCCAATAGACTCCGAAAAAAGTGAGGGCAAAAAGAGTAAAAAATAAAATAAAAAATAAAAAAAATCAGTTATTTGAAGATAAACAAGTAGTTCAACAGAATGCAATGACATTTATATTTTAAATTACAAAAGGCATAGTTTAGGCATATTAAAGACAGATTATTCATTTACCAAAAAAAAAAAAAAAGACCGATTATTCAATGCAGTGGGTCTAATAAAACATTTCCATAAATATCAACTCACTCCATTACTTCTAAAACTGGTTTTAAAAAAAAAAAAAAATTCAAAACTCCAGAACAGGGTTACCAATTAAGAGAATGAGTCATTGTTTATGGAAATAATTATAAATAATGAAAAATACTATTCTGTAGTAGAGGACTTACAGGGGAGCAACACTCTCACTCCTAACAAAGAAAAGCACCTTCCCCTCTATTGCTAGAGCCCTATTCAGACCCTCTGACAGAAGATCCATGGTAACTCTTTTGTATGGCAATTTCACTTGCACCAGAAGGTAGACATGAATCTAGTCAGTACATTATTAAAGAAATAAAGATCTATAAGCACGGGCTCAACAGAATTTAGAATGGACAATGAACTGAAACCTATAGGTCAGAAAAGTGCTTACAATTAACAGCAGCCAATGATGATGCCAAAGAAGACATTCGCTTAGCTTTTACATGTCCCTGTAAATTATATATAAATGCCTCTCTCAAAATAAGATGTTGAATACAACCCATTTTTTCTTTTTCATTTTTTAAAAAGTTGGTACTTAGGGAGAGGGCAGAAATGCAAAATTGACTTTAATGTTTATTGCAAATACCAGCTTCTACATTTGAAAAGAATCCTCCACGCTAGGATATCAAGCTATTGAGAAACCCATGTGTAAAGATGCTTCAACAAGTTACTATCTTAGATTACAACCACATAGCCAAAGTAAAATTTCATTACCCTCAAAAGATTGTCCACCTTGTCAAGTAAATTGACTATCTTCTGAACCTCCTCTGCAGCATTGAGACCTGGATCCTTCAAAGCAGCAGCCTCGAATCCACTAAGAGCCCTCTGGTAGTTCTCTAGATATTTGTTAACCTGTAACAAATATGTAAAGAAACAATTCAACCCAAAAGCTTAAGCTGTTAGGTGAAGCTACATTAATGTTTTATACTTCTCTAACATGTCCTCTCATACGAGAGCCCACTAGGCTTGAAGAGTGGATAATGCACAGGCCCACCTACCTGAGCTAAAAAATTCCACAAAAGAAAGTGGGGGGCAGTGAGGATCGAACCCGTGACAACCTGGCTCTGATATCATGTAAAGAACCAATTCAACCCAAAAGTTTAAGCTATTGGGTAAGGTTACATTAATGATTTTATACTTCTCTACCAAAATATTTAGACAAACAAGCAAAACTCCACCCAATACATTATTTATGGAGTATAGCATGCACTATTATATGATTTTAATGTTTAAATATTATTCTTTTCTATTATTTCCAGCAAGGTGGGAACTGATAAATATGACACCAAAAATAAAGGAGAAAGTAATCTAACATTTTCATTCTCCAAACTCGTATTGCATGAAGACTTTAACATAATGAAAAACAATAAATGGATCAAAATGCAACTTACAGTGGCACAATTAAAATATAGATCTGGACTGGACTTCATTCTCTCATCTTTTTCCTGGTACATATAAACCAAGCCTTAGGTTTTCCATATTGGTAAATGATAAGCCTAATTACCAATAAATATTAGATATAATAATATTCTCCATGAATAAACGAGTATAATAAAAGTAACCATAAGTAAGAGACGTTTCTATCTTATGCACACTATTGCGGCTAAATTCTAAATCCTTCCTCTTTGTACTCACAGCATTTTGATATGCTTTTAAAGAATGTAGAAGTTTGGTATGATCCCATGCTCCAGTGACAAAAAAACTTGTAAGGCATGCATTTCCAAGATTATCTGTCAAGAAGATCAGATTATGTTAAAAAGACACAGACAGTGCATCTTATATTCAAAACAAACAAGATTCCACCAAAAAAATAAATTAAAAAAATGAGAATTAAAAATAATAGGTTGCTCTTATTTTCTCATGTATTCTATTCAGTCAAAAAAGATTTTCAAGGACAAGCAATAAAAGTAACAAATATCTTGGGACAGCTAGGAAAAATTACTGGTTTCATATATCCAATTTCAACCGTAACTGTTCATTTCAGGAAAAAAAATATAAGTATTTTCAAATTTTATGAATGCCATAATCTATGATGTCCTTTGACTAAAATATTGATAAATATATTTCTCGCATCGTACAAGGCAATATGTTAAGCAACAACTTCATCTAAAAACTCATGCTGTTAAGTGAGGACCACTTTAATAGTTTTATATATTATTTCTCTAATAAACCCCTTCACGCCAAAAGCCTTATAGGATTGAAACTTGGACAATATATAGACCCACCACACCAAGAACCATTTCTCAGGGATTGAAACATGGAACATTAACAAGCCTACCACATCAAGAGCCCATTTTAGGGATTGAAGCATGGATTTTTAATTTTTATTAGAAAACAAGGGATGATGGGGATCGAACTCTTATATCATGTTAAACAATCACTTCACCTAAAAACTCAAACTGTTAAGATAAGGACCACTTTAATGGTCTTATATATTATTTCTCTAACACTATATGTACTCAGTGCATCGAGTTGATATCAACTTTAAACGGAAATGTCCAGTCCAATGGGATGTTGAAACAGAGTGTCTCAGAGAAATTTGCAGTCTTGGTTTCACGCCAATCCTTTTTCTATGGTGAAATTTCTATTCATAAAGGAGCAATCAAAGGGTTAATAAATAACTAACTTACAGCCTAATCACTAGCTAATTTACAGAAATTGTCATAATTAAAGTTGATCATATATTTACACGTGCTAAATCTGTCTAGGGATATGCCAAATATTATTCAATAGAAATTAGCAAAGCAAGATTTTATTTTATATATATCATAGTAATAGCATATTTAAAAACTTACACCAAGAGTTCCCATCTTTGACATCCAAAGTGATTGCTTCCTTCGCATGTTGAATGCTTTCCTCAACAAGTTCTGCCTGATTCTCTGCACCTGAGTTCGTGGCAAGCAAAATAGCACTTCTCTACTGTTAGGTAGTTCTCCAATCCCAATTTTGTCCAGAAAAACACGAAGTCCTTTTTCTATTTCACATTTTAAGAAACTTGAAAGAATTATATAGATGTAAAATATAAAACTAATATAAATAGTTAAGTTCACTTTCTCTCTCCACTCTTCCCATTTTCCTCCATTCTTACCTGCACCATTTTTCCTCCATCACCGCACTCTCCATTCCAGCTTTTCATTTCTATGCATACAAGTATGTACGCTCAAATGTCCGTGCATTATAAAACAAACCAAAGTAACTGCTCTGCTAGTATATTCTGCGCCTCAACACCACAGGTTTCTTTCTCGCTTTTATGTTTTCATTCAGTCATTCAACTTATGTAATTCGATCCTCAAGTAGCAATGCAACCCAGAACCACATGTGTCATTTTATAAATAATCACATTTTAGACCACTGTCCACTAATAAATCAGTTTTGTATAACTGGCAGCAATTATAATATACTGTTCCTCTCTGAAGAAATGAGACATGCTCTCTCCAATTCTAAAATCTCAAGAAGGATCTTAAGCCCATTTCTCATGTGAATAAGGGAGATGGGCTAAAATCACACTCTAAAACCAACCATCTGACCAATTATTATAAAGATGACTAAAATCAACACAGAAAGAACGAATGTGGAAAATAAGGCTCCTTCATTTATGCGCACAAGCTCAAAACCAAGATACAATGACTAAAGAAATTAGGACAATTGAAAAATGATCGATCTTAAAACAATAGAGTACAAATTAATCCCTTACCTTGAGACATTCTTCTTTTAAGCATAGATAATTGACAAAGAATCTTTTTGTTAGGACCCTGCATAAACAACCAATATCTATCATCACTCATCAGTTCACTACAGAGAATCTCAACCAGAGCAACGTGAAACTGAGACTTCAGAGAAAAAGGATAGGGCCTCCACTAGATTTCCAATATTTTTTTTATCAAAATATTGAAAATATTTAAGGTTAACAATAAATGTCTTCTCCTAAAGCATATCCTTCCTAATACCACGAAACCAAGAACCAAACTATTGTGTCAAGAAAACACAATGATTTAAAAAGAGACATTACCAAACTCTTAAGAAACTGGATAGCCACAGTGAAATTACTTTAAAACATGAAGAAGAAGAAATTATGTAGCAAAACAATTTTTCAAAGCCTTGTAACAAAATGTATATATAATTTTAGCATAACCAATGATGCTCCAAATATATAGAAATTACGTACCATTCCCATACAGTTCATAATTTCCTTCAATAAAAACTACCAAATTATGCAAAAGAAGAGCTCTAGTAAATAAATACAAACCAATCTAGATACTCTTAATTGAGGTCCTGTTTGGCACAAACATGCTTACAGTTATTTGCTTCATTCCATAAGCCTTATTAACATGCATTATATAAACCATGCTAGTAAGCAGTAATATATGGATAAACTTCTTTTGGAAATTGACACCTCCGTCTTGCCCCAGCATCAGATGTCTAAGATTATAGTCATACTTCTAGAAATAAATAGAATAGCATTTACAGCAAAGATAACAATCTGCCATCATGTTTCTTCGGTCACAACCTCTAAATTCTCATCCTCCTTCTAGAGTATCTTGTAAACTACCAAAATCCCTCACCACTAACCCACTCTTAGAGGTTGATCCTTCTTCTATACAATTTTCAACCAACCACTAATATCTGTATTTGTGTTCAAAACTTTGATGTTCTATACAATTGCTAACCCCCTCCAATGAATACATGCTTACTATCCCTGATGAAAATTCATAGAAAACATTGGATCAAGAAATGAAATAAAAGGCTATTCTTTACACTGACCTTACAGGCAAAGTGGAGATGGAATATATTCCTTGAAAAAGAGCAATATTCAGATTCAACAGTGATTTTTTTGCTACCTATTTGGTAATGGAAAAAGAGATGTTTCCCTCACTTTTTATTTCCCATTTTCTCAAGAAAGGGAAGGAAATATTGAATTTTATTATTTAAATTTCTTAGAAGCAATAAATTTTATTCAAATTAGAAGAAATAAATAGATAGGGGAGGAGTATGTAATACATAACATCCTTCTGAACAAGGAGACAAAAACAAAGATGAGAAAAGAAAGCAAGATTGTTAATACAACAATGCAATTCAAGCCCTCTGCATACTTATCAAAGAGACAGCTTGAAGGAGAAGCCATAAAAACATTCCTGTGCTACATTTAATCTAATGAAAAAGATCCATGAAAACCAAGCATTTTGATAGTTCAACAGAATTCCATTCTAATATGAACATACAGATTTAAATGTTAAGTGTACACATTCAGTTGAACAAGTTCCCAGCCACCACTGATGGGGGGTGAAACGAAATGTTCCTTAACCCGGTAACTGATTGCAAGTATTACAATATGGTTACTTCATCAGTCACGTAATGTAAGTCATGGAAATCTATGATCAATGCTAACCTTGTTTAAGGCAAGGCTAAGGCAGTTCTTTGCAGCAGATAAATCTCCTTTCTTCCAAATGCAGTTACCTAAACATAGCCAAGCATCTGCAAGAGATGGGTTTAACTTAACCTGGGGCACAGAAGATTCAATTATAAATCATTCGCTTAAATATCAGTATAAAGACGCATTAGATCACGGAAACCAACAATTCAGTCTTGCTTACAGCTTTTGATAGATGATCCTCAGCTTCTTTCCTGTAGTCAGGAAACACATCCAACATCTTCCCTCGAAGATATTCAAATTTTGCACGTTGCATAGGTGATTTTCTTTGTTCTGGCAAAGGAGACAAAATTTTAATAGCAAATTTTAATAAAACAAATAAGATAATGGAGAATAAATAGCCAAATATGAGACATTGGCTGAATTATTGGTCAAAACAGTGTAAGAAGTATTCTTAGTAACTGGGAGTCTGAGGCAGCCACAAAAAAGAAATGCAATATGAAAACAAAATTGTTTACACTTAAATTTAAACCAATAATATAGGAGTTTCTGAGCAACTATATCAACCTTTATACCACGTTACTGGGAACTAATTTTTCTTACACTGCAAAGCATCGCAACATATATATTTGGAAACACCCTATTTACCTTGTTACTTGGACCTTGATTTCTTATTTTCCACTTTTTTTTATGCTGATCAGTCTCAACTAGTTGAATTTATATCAAGACATCATTTAAGCACTTGGGCTTCTTATCTGGGGCATGAATTTTCAGTTCACCTTGGATTTTGCTATCCCCAAGATGGTATCCTTTCTTTAGGGAGTATCCTTTAATAAAGTATAGAAGTCCACATCTTTGGACAGTGTAATGACCACTAAGACTAATTGAATTTCCGAACATTCCAATGATTAAAAAATGAAAATAAATAAATATCAATCTATGCATAGAGATGGAGTTGTAAATAGTGTTTAATGCACCACCTTGACATTTTCAACAAAATATATACATACTTCATACTCACTCTCTTTATAATATTGCTCTTTTATTATAAAGTAGTACACCGAAATTTAATTAAGGGTGGCCTAGTGCACAAGGCTCCCACTATTGTGCAATGTATTAGTAGAAAATGCTTAGGCAGACACAATGTATCAGTAGCTTGTGCAATGGAAAAATCGAAAATGACAACTGGTTTAACAATTATATATTTAGGCCCCACTAAGTAGACTTTGTCAACTGAAAGCTTCTATTGATGCAGTGCACAAATTGATTGTACATCATGTTTACCCAAAAAATGTCACGTTAGTCGTTACTTAAAAGCTTAATCATGCTCCTTTACTGTATAGAACCTGTCTTCGTTAGAGTTATCCTCTTAAGCTATTGGAATGGTGGTCCTTGAAGTAAGTGATCAAGTTTCAAAACCCTTTCTGCACATCTCATGTTGTCTAACACAAGAATTAAAGCAAGTTTCACATTCGCTGGTGTCATCTAGAATCTCACCCTTCCACTATTGCACATTAATTTTTCAAAGTAATGTAGTCATCCGCAAACATAAACCAAACGCTAGCAAAGCACATTAAACTCATGTAAAACCTGAAATTTCCAATCATCGATTAAAACCCCAGAATAAAAAATAAAAAAAAAGGTCCTGCGTTCATGACAGTTGAGTAAACACTTTCAACTAAATGAGTTATTCAACAAGCATCAGAAAATAGGAAATAAACTAAGAGAAGGTGGAGATTGAAAGCAAACAGACCTAAAGGAATGGAATCGAGGAGTTGAAGAGCGAGATCGGATGCGTGTTGCAACTTAGAGATTCTGTCATCGGGATTGGGAGGGAAATAAGTGTCTCGAAGATGGTAAAGATCTTCTGCTGCTCTTGCAGCTTTCGATAATGCTTCTTCTTCATCTGAATTGCTCATCTCACTCTCTCACTGTGAGTCAATGAGCGTTCTTCGTCAGTAAAAAATGTGTGGGTTTTGATTTTTGGAAAGACGACGACGACGACAATAATGGATGCCAATTTACTATCACAAAAGCCAAAACCAGAAAGTATATAAGTTATCGGCATTTATTATAGATAGTTTTGGAATTTAAAATATTAAAAATTATAATTATAAAGATTATAATAATTTTGAAATAAATTAAAATTATTAAAACATCATAATTTTTGTCTCAGAAAGATTTTGTATTGAGTTTAGTACAAATAACATATATATAATATCTGCTGAAAAACCGAACCCATTTAAAAAAGGGTTCTATGTTTGTTATTTCATAAGTTATGTTATTTTAGAAGAGAGATAGACACAAAAAATAAAAATCGAGAGAAAGTAAGTGATTTTTTTAATTTAAATTTTAAATAAAAAATATTATTATGTGTCTGTCTCTCTCTTAAAATAACATAAGTTTATGTCATTTAAAATAACAAATATTTTTTCTTTTAAAAAATATAAAATCAATTTGACCAAAACATAATAAAGAATAATGCTCTATTTGTACTTTTTTTTGTATATATTATTCTAAATTTGAATAATTTTTATCATTGGACTCATGCTCTTAACATTTAAATTCTAATTTTACTGAATTTAATCACTTATATTCTTATACATACGTTTGAATAAAAATAATATCTAATTAACTTTTTCTTTTTATTAACAAATACCTCACATGATTTTAAGGTGTACTTGTCTAAATTTTTACATATAACATTTACTTTTCTACTTTATCCAACAACAGGGATTCAAGAGGTGCATATATGAAACGAGTTGGGGCATGTTTGGTGCATAGTATAGGATAAGGCCTAATAGTATAAGGTCTAATAGTATAAGACCTGATAGTATAAGATCTGATTGAATTTTAATACTATCAAGCGTTTGGCACGGTATTGTATAAAATAATATATTGTATAAGATAATATCATCTAGTATTTGGTAATGCACTGTATAATACTATATATGATAAAAATAAATATTTTTAGTAAAAATATCCTTTAATAAAGAATTTATATAATTCTTCAAAAAAATGTCATATGATATTAATTTTTATAAAAATATATTGATAAGTGTGTCCAAAATATAAATTAATTTTTATAAAAATAAAAATATTCAATATTTTAAAAATTAATATATTGAAAAATAAATTTTTATTTTAATAGATTAATATTAAAATAATATATTAATTTTTGAAAATTACATTGGTCAACGATGTTAATACATCAATCTCTTATCAGGTCTTATCCCTCATCCTTGGGCCGGATTAAGTTATATATCGTTTTGATGTATTAAGGAATTATGTTGTATAAGCTTATACTATACGGTGGTCACACCAAACAACTGAAAATGTCATAACGTATTGTATAAGTTTATACTATCATGCCTTATACGTCACACCAAACAAACCCTTTGTTTTGAGCTCTTAATTTTTTGTTTTTCTTCTTTTTATAAACATAAATTTAATCAAATATAATTTTACAAAGAGTTGTTTTATAAAGAAGAAAAAAAGTTAAAAGCTTTCACTAGAAGTTTTTTTAACATGTATGTGAGTTTTTTAAAATTTTTAAATTATATTCTAATTATACCTTTATTTTAAACTTTTGCTTATAAATTTTATCAGTTATACTAATGACAAATTATTTCATCTCTTGAATTCTAAAATTTTTAGAACAACTTTATACTATCATCAAATAGCTTTTAATTTTATTTATTAAGCTCTTATTTTTAATTTTAACTTAAAAGTAATTTTTAGTTTAAAAATATTGTCAAATAGGCTCAAAGCTAGGGGTGGCAATTCGTGTTCATGGGTCGGGTTCGGGTCAACCTGGTTCTGACACGAACACGAATAAGCTCAACCCGAACACGACACGATTAACAATTCGTGTTATAAAACTGAACCCAAACACGACCTGTTAATTAAACGGGTTGACACGATACAACCCGAATTTGAGTACAACCTGCTTTTACACCACACAACACGACCCAACCCGACACGAACCGACTTTATTAGCATCCTCAACATTTGCATTTCGAACATCAACCTCCTGGTCCATCATTTCAGCGTTGTTTTGTGATTCAAAATCCATCTACATGTACAAATAATAACAATAATATAGATAAGAAATTTATATAACAAATAAAACCCAAATAACTAACAACCAGCACAGCTATACGGTGGGCATAACAAAGGAATGTGATATATTATTTTATTTTTATTTTAAAAAGAAAATTTTAAAATTGAAACATGTGAAAACTGCATAACAATATACGGTGGGTTACTCACAAATTTTGAAAATTATAACTCTTGAATCCGTGAAACATGATCCATTGAATATATATATATATATATATATATATTCAGTAAAGCAACGGTGGGTATAGATTTCATTCGCAGGAAGTCAGGAACAAAATATATATATATACAGTATATATATAAAACGACAAAAGTGAATAAAGCAAAAAAATGAAAGAAGACTTAATAAATTTGCGGACAGTATGCGTACCTTTTGGTTGAGGTGGAAGAAGGTTTGCAGACATATGAGAGATCGCCAACAGAGAGATGAGTGTTTGAACTTTGGAAGTGAGAGAGAAAAGGGTTGGGCCACGGAGAGTGAAGAGAGAGAAGAGTTAAAACCCTAACATTTAGTTTTTATACCATGACATAAAATTACCAGAACATCCTTATAATTTTGCGGGTCGGCAGGTTTGCGGGTTAACCTGTAACATGACACGAATTTTTTCGTGTTGTTTTTCTTCAACCCGGACACGACCCATTTAATAAATGGGTTGACCCGAACACGAAAATTTCATGTCGGGTTCGGGTTGGGTTGGCGAGTCGTGTCATAAATTGCCACCCCTGCTCAAAGCCCATTTGTTTGGGCTTATAAAAAATTAATTTTTATTTGTTCCTTATTTTATAAGTGTTTTTTACAATAAGGAAGCAGGCTTATAAAAATATTTGACTTTTGCTTTTTTTAGAAGCTAAATTTTTTAGCTTCTTGAAAAAGTTTAGCTTCTTAAAAAAAGTAAATTTTTGACTTTTTTTTGTCACTTCTACTTTTTTTTTTTTAAAAAAAAAAGTAGACATTTGAGTGTGAGTTTTACCTACCATGAAAAAAAATGAAAAACATGATAGACATTTGACTTTTGAAAGTAGACATTTGACTTTTGAAAGTAGACATTTGACATTTGACTTTTTTTCATGGTGGGACCCATCATGAAAAAAGAAAAGAAATGTTGACACAATATTCAATGTGTGAGTAGAAATGTTTTTCTATATCATGTTACATGATAGAAATATTACCCATAATCTATTATTGCTACTTCACCATTCATTCGTCCCGTTCGTCAAATACACCAAGTCTACATTGATCCTTTATTTAAAATCACAAATGGTTGAACAACTCGCTATATATACATATATTGTTCTACTTAAATTCTTTTTCTAAAAAGAAGAAGAAGCAAGAACCAAATACACAATTACCAAATATCCATACAAATTAATTATCATGTATTTCTTTGTAGAAAAAATATAAAAAAGTAATCAATATATCACACGCTAATTTGTTCTTTCCACAATAATATATTTAACAAATCATTTTCGTCTCCAATTTCTACCTTATCATTTTTTTAACTTTCAAACATCTTTCCCCTCCCTTTCCCTCCTATTCCTTTCCTTTCTTTTCTCTCCAAACTCCCAAACAAAGCCTAAAGTCTTTCCAATTCTAAATAATTTTTTAAAATCTATAAAAGAAAATTAATCTTTCAGAATCCTAATCCAATACATCTCGTAGCTTTTCCTCATGTAACAGAGTTTTGTCGAGCAAGAGTAACAATACAAAGCCACCTACCTCTATACTATCTTCGTCAGAGCTACCAAATCCTCACGGTGTCACAATGTCAATGTTCGATTGTGTTCTGAAAGATACATTGGAGTAAATCCTGCATCGACTACCGCCAAAAAGCATTGGAAAATGTATGGCAGTGTGCAAATCATGGAACTTATTGATAAAAAGCCATAGCTTCTTGTCCTCGTATCAACAACGTTCACTCTCTAATACTCTCCTCTGTTCGTTGTCCGGCACTCATTCCGTCAGTATTCTCTATGCTCCCCAAACATCGAATACTCATTTCCGCTTCCTAACGATGAATACAGGTTTGTGGGCGCTCTCAACAGCCTATTTTGCCTCACTTTCTCCCTTGGTCTTACTCATAATTCCAAGGTCAGTATCATCCTCTTGAATCCTCTGACGGGGAGACACCCCCAACTCCCAACCTCCCAAATAATGGGTCTCTCTTACAATGATTCCAAATTTGGGTTTGGATTTGAATTTGGATTTGATTCCAAGAAGAAGTGGTGTATATTTGTTACAGTGCTAGCTAGCGACTACAGGGTTCCTCCCAAGGTGGAATTGTATTCCCTCAACTATGTGTTTGGAGGGTCATTAATGCTTCATTCGTGGAACCAAGTATCAATCTCGACCAAGAATTATTGTACGAGAATAACTGGCGGAGCTAGGGTTTAATTTTAGCTGGGACTAAATTTTTTGAGGATAGGTTATTCTACCTACTTTTTTTTTTCTGCCTACCTTTGCCTACCACTCTGAAAGACTTTTACATCAGAATCTTAATTAACATTTATTTTTCTCTCTCTACTTTAGATTCTGATCTAACGATATTGGAGAGTGGTAGGCAAAAGTAGGCAGGAAAAATGGTAGGTAGAATAACTATCCCTATATACATATATGAAATTTTCATGTGATTTTTATGAACATTTTCATGTGATCTTTATGAATATTATTTCATGTGATGTTAATGAAAATTTATTTCATATGATGTTAATGAAAATTTATTTCATGTGATATTAATGAAAATTTATTTCATGTGATCTTTGTGAATATTTTTTTATCTTTTATCTTTTAATTTGGTTTGAGGCCTGTAAACTTTAATTTGCAACTTGGTAGACTTTACTTGTCGAATTAGATTTTTTAGTTTTTTATAATAGGTCAGACTAGACCTA